TCTCTGAGCTTAATTTAGATGTGGGTGACGCCTTTCCTGTTTTGATGTTATATATGATGCTGATCGCTGGTTGTTGTTAATTGGCTAAGATCTCATATGATCTTGTTTCTTCCAGTTATGACTACCTGGAGAAGTAGAAGATCACTATGAGGAATTTTGAATGTTATTAGTGTGAATTAAGTGTAGCTATGATCCATTATCTATCCAATAGCAACACAGTGGTACACAAAATGATATTCATGATTGATCTTAACTACATACATAGCATTAAACAGCTTGCAGACGACCTTACATCTATGGGTTGTATAACCTGTTGTTTTAGCTGTCTGTACGTCTAATTCGAGACTCTTGAAGACAACCCCTCATCTGTGGCTTGCACATGCCCTAAGGCCTCCCCTTCCTCCAATGAGGACAGAGCACAGGCCGTGCTACGGATTACGGAACGACACCAAGCCAGCCTTGGAGGCTTTGGAGCTTGCTCGTCTTGGTCGGTGGAACAGAGAATCAGGAATTCCTATTGAACTCCCTTGACTATTTATAAGTTCGATTTACCTCACTTAATTAGAAAACCTGTTTTTTTTTACTCCTTCAACTATTGAAACCATCCGATTTACCTCTCCGAGCAGTTTTGATGGTGGTTTTTTGGCTGACGTGGCGCCACGTCAATTGTCCTACATGGCGCCAAGTTAGTCAGTTTCTACAAATATTTTTTCCTAAAAATGCACATGCTTTCCTAGAATAAATACGCATTTAAAAATACTAAAATTTGATTTAATATTAGAAAAATCATAGAAAATTTGTTTTTAACTCAGAAAAATATGTAACATGTTTCGTATTTCCGAGTTTCATATTTATCCTAGATTCAAATATGTATCCAGTTTCATATTAGCCCTAGTTTCAAATTTTAGGAGACAATATAAGAAAGAAAAAAAAAGTAGAACATTAGGAAAAACATGAAACTGGTTTCATATTTTTCCGAGTTAAAACAATTTAATAATAATTAATCAGATTTAGTCTTTTTAAATGCATATTTATTCTAGAAAAATATTTAGACAATTTTTTGAAAAAAATATACTAATTGACCCCCCCTGAACTATCACTAAAGTCTAATTTACCTCTCCTGGCGTGACTTGGCGCCACAAACGACTCTCAAAACTGCTCAGGAAGATAAATTAGACGGTTTTAATAGTTGGAGGAGTCTAAAAGATCGATTTCTATTGAGGAAGGTAAATCGAATTTATACAATATTTGAGGCAGGTAAAATGGACTTTTTTTTCATTACTGTTCCAGCTTGAAACGGCAGCAGGGGGAGAGGCAAGTACCGGCCAGAAAGCTACCTTGCCACCCGAGAGGCGGAGACACTGCCTCCTGCCCGGCGCAGGCTTGATTGATGGCTCGGAAGAGCCATGAACAGACTCTTTTTCGTTTATTTGAAAAGCCAGGCTGAAAAGTACTGTTCGTTGATTTGTTGTGAGAGAAAAATACTATACCATGGTTGATAAGTTAAAAGAGCAGTTAGCGAGATAAAAAAGAAAAAAAGAAAAAAGAGCAGCTAACCTCTACTGAATCTGGATCAATTGACGTAGGGGCATTGGTTAAAGTAGAGATGGATAACATGAGTATGGAGATTGAACTCTCCAAAGGAAATCTACTAAGTATCAACTTCAAGAAAGAGTAAAGAAGGTGTAAGCCTTTGATTACAGTTATTTATTTTCTGGCTACGGTCACTTCACGGTAAGTCCTTTCATGGACAGTCTTTTTTTTGGTAACGCTCTGAAAGCAGGCGTCTGTCCTTCAGGCGGTCCATTGCTAGGTCAGATGCTAGCCCAATAATCCATGCTCCTTTGTTTGAAAAAGAATTGCTCATCAACTTATTTCTATCCACTCGTTTCTCTTCCTATCGCTCTTATCCGCTCGTCGCCACCTTCGAGGCGCGCCGCCGGTAGCTGGCCTTGCCGGCACGGCGCGCAAGCCTGCCTCGAAGTCGTGAAGCTTCATTTCTTGGCCTTGCCGGTAGCGACACGCTGTTGCCCTCTCCAAGTCGTGCAGCTGCAGCCTCCCCGCTGCTCATGAGGCCGATGCCACCCTTTCGAGTCGTGCAGCCACTGCCGCGGCTCGCCGCCTACAAGCGCCGCCGGGCCGCTACCTCCGGTGAACACCACACATCGATGAGCCTTCATTTTGCCGAGCAACAAAGAGATGTTGCATTGAAAGCGTATGTTGCAAGAGTATGTTTCAGTTGTTTCAGAGGTATGTTGCAAGTGTTTCATATGAATGTTGTAAAAATAGATCGTGATGTTGCACATGTTGCAATGGTTGTACACGTATGTTGCAAGCATCCGTTCTAAATGTTTCATCTGCTTTTTCAGATGTATGTTGCAAGTGTGCATATTTGGATGTTGCATATGTTTCAGACATATGCTGCAAGAGTATGTTCGAAATATTTCAGTTGTTTCAGTCTTACGTTGCAATAAGTGTTTTCATGTTGTAAGTTGCAATTGTTTTATCTAGATGTTGCATATGTTTGACACATATGTTGTAAGTGTATGTTCTAAATATTTCATCTGCTTCATACTTAAGTTGCATTCAAGTGATTTATAATGCTTGCTTTTCCTTATCATACTTTTTTTTAGTTACTAGGCCATATTATCATTTCTTTATATATATTTTTTTGCCAATCTTAGACCACCAGAAACTTTGAAAGGCGAGGATTGTGTCAAATATATATATTTATATATTAACTGGTTATTGAAAGAGTTGCTTGAAAACTAGCTTAGGAGTGCTGCTTCTGTGCTATAGCAACCTAGCAATAATATCAATTACTGCAGGAGTTTCATTAGATATAATAGTTTACATTACATACAGTCAGTTACTTCTGAAGAGTTGCGAGGTGGTAGAATGCTCCCTTCTTGTTCATGAGCTCCGGGTAAGAGCCACGCTCCACCACTGTACCCTCTCCCAGGAAAGCAATCGAGTCTACATTCTTGATTGTGTTTAGTCGATGTGCCACCACAATTGTGGTCCTCCCTGACATTATTCGATCAAGAGCTTCCTGCACCACTTGCTCTGACTGCGCATCAAGCGCACTTGTTGCTTCATCAAGTAGTAGTATTGCTGGATTCCGGATTATTGCCCTTGCAATTGCAATTCTTTGCTTCTGTCCCCCTGAGAGCTGTATACCATGCTCTCCGCAATCAGTATCGTATCCATCCTCCAAGGATCTGAAAAATAATCAACTTAGTTCCTTGTGTTATACAATGCGAGTTGAAATAAAAGGCATGCTTGCAAGATTTATACAATTTTGGAATAGAAACAAGTAAAAAGACTTACGAGATGAACTCATGTGCGTTTGCAGCTTTTGCAGCTTCCACAATCTCATCTTCATCAGCTTCTGGTTTACCAAAAGCAATGTTGTCCCTGACACTGCCCGAAAACATTGCAGGCTCCTGACTAAAAAGAGCTGTAAATCCTCGGAACCAGAGAATATTCATCTCCCTCACATCCATACCATCAATTCTTACGGCCCCCCTATCAACATCGTAGAACCTCTGGATCAAACCTATGATAGTTGATTTACCACAACCGCTTCTCCCAACCAGGCCAACACTCTTCCTTCTTTCACGTCCAAGCTAAAATCCTGTAGGATAAGGCATTCTGGTCTTGTTGGATATGCAAAACCTACCTCCTTGAATTCTATTCTACCTTCTATTTTCTTCTTCTGATCTTCCTTCTCCACCTGCAAAATAGATGTATATTATTCTCACTCATAGCAAGACCGCGTTGTAAAATCATTCTATACTCGCATAACTGCTTTGCCGATATGTATTCTGTATGATGCTTACGAATGAGTTCGTTACCTGTGAATTTTTTGGAGAGATGGATTTCCTATCTAGCACCTCAAATACTGAAGCAACTGCATTTGCTCCCTTTGCCAGGTCAGATGTCATGCTACCAGAGTACCAGCATCAGCAATCAGCTTTCCTGTGCTCACCAGCGCGAAAAAGGTTTTGAAAACATCACCCGCTGATATCTCCCCAGACTGTGCCAGCTTCCCACCATACCAGAAGGCCAGTGCCCATGACAAGAACGAGAGGCAAGGTGACAACCCTGTGGTTATCCCTGCTACCCATGATTTCTTCCTTGCTTTTTTCAAGGGTTCCTCTTGTGCATGCTCGAATAGCTGAAGAACCTTCGATGAGCATCCAAAGGAGGTTACCATCCTGTGGTTGTAAACAGCTTCTATGGCAATCTGGGTGCTATGATGCTGAGCCTTTGCCAAGTCCCTTGACACGTTTGAGAGAACCACTTTTTTTTGCATAATAGCATATCATTGTAGATGGCTGTACAGCTATCATGACAAGAGCAAGTTTCCAAGCTACAATCAGGCCCATTGTCACCGCAATTATAATTCTGGAAGCTGTTTGAAGCAGTAAGGATATTCTATCTGCAACAAGGGTTTTGACAAGAGAAGCCTCATTGCTTAGCCGAGAGCACAATGCACCGCTTGAATTAGTTTCTTCATCAAACCATGCTGCCTCAAAGGTTAAGATCTTCTCAAGTACTTGGACCCGGATGCGCCTAACAAGATGCTCCCCCATGTATGCAAAATTGTAGTGTTGCAATAGATTCACAACAATGGATACCAAGGACAGTGAGCAGAAGATCAACGCATAGCGTTTGATATTTGCATTCATCTCATTTTGGTCCTGAACAAAGAATACAGCAATCATTCCTCCGATGGTTATGGCATAGATGGGATGCAATGAACCATATACCAATGCAGATAAACTGCCTAAGACTGCCTGCCTCCACTCAGGTGCGTTCATTGCAAGAAGCCTGGAGAAAGATGGTGCAGGTGGAGGAACATCAGAATTATTTTCCTTTAAGATAGCTGGTGTTAGTGGCATTGGACTTGCTCTGGACATGCTGTGACAGCTGGTACTTGTCCTGGCCACTGAGGAAGCCCTAAATTGTTCATTTTCTTGATCAATGTAGCTTACCATCTGCAATTTCACAAGTCTCGAGTATGGGCCACCCTTGCTGATCAGTTCATCATGTGTACCAATTTCAACGATTGTACCCCCATCAACTACTGCGATCTGATCAGCGTTCTTCACAGTTGAGAGCTTATGAGCTACTACCTAACCATTGTTAATGAATAATCAGGGATTCAACGTCAAATGATTTTCTCTTCAAAAAGCTGAAGTTCTAAGTAATTCAAGAAGTTCTGATATAAGGGTTATAAAGTATGAAGAGTGAGTTTCCTCAAAAAAGGTATGAAGAGTGGAAGCAGTGACAATTTACCAGTGTTGTTCGTCCCGTGGATGCTTGATCAAGTGCATGCTGTACCAAGTTTTCTGATTCTGAATCAAGTGCACTTGTGGCTTCATCGAGCAAGAGTATAGCAGGGTTCTTAATTATCGCCCTTGCAATGGCAATACACTGCTTTTGGCCACCTGATAACAATGCTCCACGCTCACCAATCTGCAAGAATGGACCATAAAGTATGTATGAGACATGGAATTAAGGTGGCTGAATGTTCCTTTTCACTTTTGATGCTGCATACCTTAGTCTCATATTCCTCTGAAGCCCCCCTTATGAAGTTGTGAGCATTTGCTGTCATAGCTGCTGCATAAACCTCATCCATGGTCCCATCTGGTTTGCCAAACAAGATGTTCTCTTTTATTGAAGTACCAAACAATGCATGATCCTGGCTGACTAGCCCCATTTTGCTCCTGATCCATTTGAGCTGGAGTCCTTTAATGTCAAAACCATCAATTTTGACAGTTCCTTCACTGGCATCATAGAAGCGCTGCACTAAAGCTATTGCTGTTGACTTGCCGCTGCCACTGGACCCAACCAAAGCAATAGTTGGCCCAGCAGGAATATGGAGGTTGAAGTTTTTGAGGACTGGCATATTTGGTCTTGATGGGTACACGAAACGGACAGATTCAAATTCGAGCTCTCCCTGAATTTGGTCCAAAATAAGGCCTTTTGGGTCATCAGCATTAATCTGGGGAACACGGTTTATCCGATCAAGGATTCTTGTGGCAGCAACAGATGCCTCAGTGAAATGTTTCAGTTCAGGGAGTGCCATTCCAAGGGATCTGCAACATTCAGTAAAAAATTGTTAGTTAAGCTTCTATTTCTACATGATCAGATGGAGTCATGAAGTCAGTAAGGCTTAAAGAGTACAAGAAACATGATCAGATGGAGTCATGAAGTCAGTAAGGCTTAAAGAGTACAAGAAACATACAGGCCACCCAAGACGAATGAAATCCCAGCAGCATATATCCTTCCACCACTTACATGATGTAACATCACCAATCTGCCACCGTACCATGCGAGAAACGCCCAAATGGCAAAAGAAAGGCCGGTGAACCCAACAGCAAGATCCTTTGCAATGCCTTGTTTGATCCCCAGCTTGATCGTCTTGTCAAGGATTGCTGTGTATTTCTGGATGATCCTTTTCTCGGCTGTGAAGGAGTAAACGGTCTTGATAGAGCCCAGAGCTTGCTGGACCAGGGAATTCGCCTTGGCGTACTCATGGCGTGACTGGCGGGACAGGTAGAGAAGGTACTTGCCGTAGATGAGCCCTGGGATTATGAGAAGCAGGACCAGAGGAAAAGAAACCAGAGCCAGCCTCCAGCAGAAATAAGTGGCAAAGCCTAGTCCGGAGACGAAGACCGTAGAGTGCATCAGAAATAGAGGGACCTGTTCCAGATTTTATGAAAATCAACCAATCATGCTGTTATTTCTCCTTGATGAATGATGAACCAAAACTGAATTATATTACGTGGAGTTCTGCCCTGCTCTTTTATTTTCACGCATTCATTTTTTCTGGAAGCTGGATAAATTATTTCTGCTTGTCTTTTTTTTTTCAAGTATGTAAAGACTAAAGAGTGTGGGTGTACGTCTAGATCATCCAAGTAGTTTGGGTGTGTTTGGTTCATGTTTAAAACCTGGTCTGGCTAGCCAACTAAGCCTGGGCAGCCATAGCCTGGCTTCAAAAATCCAAGATGCACTTGTTTGGTTGCATTGGCTAGCTTAGCCTGTATAAGAAATTCTGTGTTTGGTTGGTTACTTTGTCCAAGATACAATCACCACATCTGAACATGGTTAAGTTTACCTCCATAGAAGTATTTCGTCGAACAGGTTGTGGGCAGAGGATTTGAGCGGGCACCTCCGCCGTTGCCATCCTCCGTCTCCTCGCCGATAGAGATGGCGCATTGGCTGCTGCCGCCGTCCTCCGTCTCCTCGCTGATAGCGATGAGGCGCAGGAGCCCTGGCCGCTGCCGCGTCGTCCTCAGTCCTCCCCTCCTCGCCATAGCGAAGGGGCGCAGAGACAGGGATCTGCCGGACCAAGAAGCGTGGAGGTAGGAACGCAGGGTGAGAAGAAGAGAGGGAGCTGGAGCCGCACCGTTACGGATGACGGCCTCCGCGTGCGCCCCATCGTCCTCCGTGTGCACGGCGAGCGGCATCGACCTTCGCTCCGAGTGGACGACAAGCACGTGTTTTTTATTTCTTTTTATAAAAAAATAAAACAATTTTCCTACCCCAGCGACGCATCTTTAGCCCGGTGATGCATCCTGCATCTAGCTAACACCGGAAATAAGGTGGGTTGTTTATTCGTCTTTTCTTTAGATATAGCACCACATCCTGTACTAAATCATCAGTCGTTTTTTTTATTCTAGGTACATGTTTAGATATATAATAAAAGTTATTACGTAACTTGATATACGATATATCTAGATATACAATAAAAGTTGTATATTTACAAATGCCAAAACTATCTATATATAATAAATTAAAATAGAGGAAGTACTCTCTCCGTTCCAAATTATAAGTTATTTTAACTTTTTTGGTATATCTATTTTATTATGCATCTAGTAGATATAATAATATATCTACATACAAAGCAAAATGAATGAACCAAAAAAATCAAAGCGACTTATAATTTTGAACGGATGGAGTATTTGTTTAGGATTACTTGATTTGCCTCACAATAGATGATAGTGTAGCTATTGTTTTGATTCATAACTAAAATGTCATCTATTTTGGATGAGGGAGTATATCTTTTAGATAATGAATTTTTATTAACCCGGCCTCTATATCCATAGAGGATATACACAGTCAAAAGGACACAAGAATCCTAAGATCAATACCACAACAAAGAGTTTCATACACAACCAAAAAAGGAAAAAACGATGACCTTGGCACATCCCTGCTTCTCGACCTCCTCTCATGAAACGTCGAGATTCGATGAGTGGAAGTCGTCAAGTCGCCGTCGCCCCTAGTGCGCCATCGCTGCGAACCTCCGCTGGTACCATCTTCATCCGCTTCGAGTGAGCTAACGCCACGTGTCGCTGGTTAGCCCACCTTCATCGGTCGCCGTCCAGTCACAACTAGCCGATCAGACACTAGCTTCTACTTCACCAGATTCCTAGGCCTCCGTCGCCCATAGGGCAACACCATCATTGGGATCATGATCGTCACCTCTGCCGGAGTCCTCTATCGCTGCCGCCAAGGCTATCCTCTTTCACCTGGACTCCCAAGCCACCGCTGCCAATGGGATCCGCCTCCTCCTCGCCGAGATCCTTGCACCAGCGCTCAAGCTACTGTCGCGGCGCCGCCCCTAGGACACAACTGCCTATGGACCCACCTCCGCTGGATCCGCCTTCACCTTGTCGAGGACTGACCGTCGACGCTTAGGTCACCACCATCCTCCGCCACACCCGCCGTCGCCCAAAGGGACGACGCCGTGATGCCTTGCCACTACCCGTCGCCCTACTGACCACCTCCATTGTTGGCACCATAGGGGCCCGTTGCTGCCCTACCTCCAGATGTGAGCTCCGCCGACCACGCTAGGGCTAGAGGGGGGATGACCCGTTCAAGCGCCGCCATTGGTCACAACCTCTTGATCTAGTGAAAGCTCTAGTTTAGTTTTGGTGAATTGATAAAACCATAAGTGCTAACTTAGTTTATCAAAGTGATTATGAGATAGGTAGCACTACTCCAAGTGGTGAAGCAAATGAAGATCATGACATGACGATGGTGTTGCCATGGTGATGATCAAGTGCTTGGACTTGGAAAAGAAGAAAGAAAAACAAAAGTCTCAAGGCAAAGGTATAAATGGTAGGAGCCATTTTGTTTCAGTGATCAAGACACTTAGTGGGTATGATCACATCTAGGTTCGATAGCTGTACTATTAAGAGGGGTGAAACTCGTATCGAAATGCGGTTATCAAAATACCACTAGATGCTCTAACTCATTGCATATGCATTTAGGATCTAGTGGAGTGCTAACACCCTTGAAAATGTTTGTGAAAATATGCTAACACACATGCACAAAGGTGATACACATTGTGTTTAGCACTTGGGAGCAAGGGTAAGAAACTTCACCGGCGGAGTGCACCAGCGCCCTGTACAGAAAAGACAGGGTTTCACATAGTGCACCAGACGCTGGTCTCAACTGGACCAGAGCGTCTGGTCAGTGGAAGCAGTGAAGATGTTGGCGTCGGTCTTCGACCGGATGATGGGTCACTTCGTGACCGGATGCTGGTGGGGTGCATCCGGTCCTGCTGATGTAGCAGCGCACAGAGGAGACAGTGAGTGATCGGACGCTGGGTGAGTCTGGTCAGGCTTGACCGAACGCGTTTGGTCGCGAGTGGAGGCTTACTGGAAGTAACTGGACGCTGGGGCCCTACGTCCGGTCGTGATCAAACTGACACGTCCGATCGCAGCTGGAACCTTACTGGAAGTGACCGAACACTGGGGTCCTACGTCCGGTTGTGGCACTGTGCTATGTTCGGTCATCACTTGACCGTTGGGATTGGGCGCTCAGTATTTGAAGAGAGGGATGATGTGGTAGCCATCCATTGACTGGACGCTGGCAGGGTGCGTCCGGTCAATCTGACCAGAGCGTCCAGTCACCCCGAGTAGTGCCCAGTGAAGGGGTACAACGGCTCTATTTCGTGGGGGCTTCTATTTAAGCCCCATGACCGGCTCAAGCTCACTCTCTTAGCCATTTGCATTGACATAGCAACCTTGTGAGCTTAGCCAAAGCCCTCTCACTCATCTCCATCATAGATTCAATATCTTTGTGAGATTGGGAGTGAATCCAAGTGCATTGCTTGAGTGTTTGCATCTAGAGGCACTTGGTGTTCGTGTTTTGCTGCGGGATTCGCTTGTTACTCTTGGTGGTTGCCGCCACCTAGATGGCTTGGAGCAGCGAGGATCGTCGAACAGAGGTTGGTGATTGTCTCCGGCTCTGATCGTGGTGATTGTGAGGGGTTCTTGACCTTTCCCCGACGGAGAGCCAAAAGGTACTCTAGTGAATTGCTCGTGGCTTGTGTGATCCTCATCTTGTGTAGGTTGTGCGGCACCCTATTGAGGGTTTGGCGTGTGATGCCAATTAGTGCGTGAACCTCCAAGTGAGTGAATCACCACAACGAGGACTAGCTTGCCGGCAAGCAAGTGAACCAC